GAATTTTTCTCTCCCATTTTTCTCAGCTAAAGGAAATCTGGAGTATACTCTATGAACTAACTCTACAGCATCATCATTGAGTTCTCACTGGTGACCTATCTCTTACCTTTTAATTTTATAATCTTTAGTTAATGACTTCTTTCTTTAGGGTTATTTTTTGGTCCAAGTTGGTTGGTGGTGCTTCAGGCCTCACATCTGTTTTTTTAGGCTGGAAGAAAAGAACAAAAGGGAGAGAATAAAAATGTTTTTGTCAGCTAAGGTCTTACCTGGAAGATTCATCCACTACTCCCACTCATATTTCCTTAAACACAGCTATAAGACATGGTAATGCTTTGCTGAAAGGCAAACTGAGAACCATAGAGGGTTGTTTGCTTTTGTTGTTGTTTTTAAGGTTCATTTTGTTTTTATTTGTGTGTGTATATGTCTTTGTAAGAATATCCCATGTACGCGTGCATGCGTGCGTGCTTGTGTGTGTGTGTGTGTGAACCTTCAGAAGCTAGCTAAGGTTATAGACAGTTGTGAACTGCCCCTGTGGGTGTTGGTTTTCTGGAAGGGCCACAAGAACACTAATTGTCAAGTTGGGAACATAGGTCCCAGCCCCCAGGCCTGGTCTGGACTCCAAATCCCAGCAGGCCAGGTCCTGACCTCTCCCTGGGGGTGGAGTCAGGACCACTTCTCCAGGTTATTTAAGTGATCTCCTGAAAGAGGAACACGTGGTCTCCCTTTCTTCCTCCTGGTGGTCGCTTTTGGTGGCTTCCCAGTTCCCCCTCTGGGCCACCTGAGAGATCAAAACTTCCATTAAACCTGTATATTTTTTTTAATTTGGCTTGTTTTGATTCAGCTTGATTGGGAATTTTGCATCGGCAGGGAGCTCCCGTTAGGAAATATTCCTAACAGTAATCACCGAGGCCTTTCCATTACATTATGTTTTTTCCTTCCTTCCTTCCTTCCTTCCTTCCTTCCTTCCTTCCTTCCTTCCTTCCTTCCTTCCTTCCTTCCTTCCTTCCTTCCTTCCTGCACATTAACTGGGTTTCAGTTACTAAGAAAGAAAGGAATAAAAGATGTTGAAGGCTCACTAATTTTATCTGCCTCAGTTGCAGCTAAGAGTCTCTTATTAAAACTAGTACTGTCATAATGAGCTTGTGTGAGATCAAAACAGGAACAATATATCTTGCAAGTTAATGGGAGACTAAGACAGCTAAGAATAACTTCCTGTTGATCCTGCATTAAGTCCTTGCAAGTTAAGAATACATTCCTGTTTCTTAGATCTGATAAGAAGTGCAAAACATGTTTTCAACCTCCACTCAACTTGCGACCTCAGTCACCTGACATATATCCTTACCCTTGTTTTTTTCCTTTCCGTGTATCTTTCTAATGATATCTAACAGCCAACTCTCTTTTCTCTGTAAACAGTTTGTCTTCCTATAAAAGGGACTGCAAGAGGCAGGCAGGGGCTGCTCTCAAATACCGACTCAGGGGAGACAACCAGCTGACCAAGTGCATCCCAAATACAGCTTGCTTTAATTGGACAATCATGGATTTGTTTCTTCTCCTTGAGATTCTCAGGTTTAACATTTGTAGGAAGTAAAGTATAAATGTGGCACAAAAATGATTTGCATAAAGCTGCTCTTATTTTTCTTCCAAGAGAAGTGAATGCTTTTTACTAAGTGAAATTCATGTAACATAAAATTCATCATTGAAAGTGTATACTTTAATGGTAATAATCATCTCTATCTAGATCCAAAACACTTTCATAATAGGATAAAAAAAACCAAATTGCCCTCTGCCTCTGATGACTGCCAGTCAATCTGTATTATTTCTCTTTGGCCAAATATGACAGTAGGATCTGAATGACTGCTCTAAGGTATGGCAGAGGAGAAGGGTTTTAGTGTAGACAGGAAAGTATAGTCAGAGGCACCTGGAAGGGTCCAGAGCAGGGAGAGAAGATAATGGACTAGACATACTCAGTGTGGAACCCTCACCCCTTATTCTCAAAGGGGCGAGAAGAAATTTCCTAGAAGAATGTTTTCCCAGGAAGATAGTGGCCTTCCCCTCTCCCACCCAGGAGATTCTGAGCACAAGGTCACTTAGCTCAGCCCAGGCAACCACCTGGCACAGGCTTTTAAAGATGGCCTAACTCAAGAACAGTGGTCTTGCTCTAGGAACAAGGAAAAAGCTGACTTAGCAGAATGGGAGTATAATGAGCATGGAAGCAGATTCCTCTGAATGAATAAAAAGGGGGACTCTGTAGTGTAGATAGAGCAGGAAATTTATAGAATAAGAATGAATGTAACTTGGTGTAATTTGTGTGGTGTGGAAAATTACTAAGGTGAAATATTAAGAGAACATTTGCCCGCTTGAAGGCTGCCACACCCATCTGGTCCTGCCAGATGTGGGGGCTGCACCCAGCAACAGTGGTAACGAAATAATCTTGCCACACGGGAAGGACCCCCACCCTTCTGTGGCCAGTCGATACTGATAACCTAGGACATCTGGTTATCGGAAAGATCAAACGAGGGGCAGTTTCGAACTGACTTAAAAGAGGTGGCTGAAGCAGGACGGTTATCTCACGTCTCACAATGGCTCTGGCACCAGGCCTCCGTGGAAAGAGAGATCCTCCTAGCCTGTCTCCCGGAAAGCAGAAATATTAAATACCTTGCCTAAACATTTAATGCTCTGTCTCCCGAGTACAGAGCTTCGTCTCCCAAAAACAGACATTTAACGCCTTGCATCCCGAATGCAAATCCTCATTCCCTGAGAGTGGACATTGGAGGTCTGTCTCCCAAGAACAGACTAGATACTCTGCCTTTCAAAATGCTTTGCCATCCCGACAGCAAAGCTTCGTCTTCTGAGCAGACAGAACGCTTTGCCATCCCAACAGCAAAGCTTCGTCTTCTGAGCAGACAGAACGCTTTGCCATCCCGAGAGCAAAGCCTCATCTTCGAGAGTAGAGAACTAAAAGCCTTGTCTCCTGAGACTCGGTCACCCGAATAGCCGAGTCCAAGGCCCTACCAGATACCAGCCTGGAACATGGAACCTTATCTTCCAAGCGCAAACTGCGGGGTCAAGAGTCGATCTTCGCTACCCAGCCCCCAGTGCGGACAAGAGCCCAGCCTGAAGAAATTCAAAAAGCCCTTTTTAAGCCAGGGAATACCAGGTCGTATGATGCTATTTCATGTGTATGAGGTTAAGAGAAGAGCATAGATGTGTTAATACATATGTCTAGTGTGTGAAATGTTAAGAGATATTTTATGGATAATTAATAAGATTAGGAAATATTAATGGATAAGTTAAGGTTAAGAAGCGTTTTATAGATATGGATAAGTTAAGGTTAAGGAGTGTTTTATAGATAAGTAATGGATAAATTGTATTAAGATGAAAGACCCTCAACGAGGACCTCTTTTCGGGAGGAGACCTCCCCAACGCCAAGGAACAGGCCGAGACCGCACGGATGCAATTCGCAAGAGGTTTATTGAGTAGACACAGGTACCTGTGGGCAGCAAGATCTCTCGGAAGATTTGCGCACCTGCCAACTGGAGGCCGGGCTTTTTATAGGGAAGAGCAAAAAACAAGTTTACAGAAGCAAAAGCGTGGTTATCGATCGACTGGAATGAGGCGGGGGCATGAATGGTTTCCCCTCTCAGCATGGGTGTCAGCAAGAAGCAAGTTTACAGAAGCAAAAGTGTGGTTATCGGAATGCGGCGGGGGGGCATGAAAGGTTTCCTCTCTCAGCATGGATGCCTGGCAACAATCATCCTGTTCCTATCTTATAGCTAACCTGCTTTGTTGACATCCTATCTTATTGACATCTTGCCTTGCAGTCTTCCTATCTCTATCTCCTGCTCTCTCAGGCACATGGGATGTTCTAACGGGAGCAGGCTGGCTGCTGATCCGGAGATTTGTTTAAAACAAACAGGACGTTCCCCCGGGAGCATGCTAGCTGCGGGTTTTGGGGAGGGGGTCTGTAGGGTCTTTCATTTCCCCCTTTTTCTTTTTGTTAATGAGTTAAATCTTTTACTCAAAGCAATTACAGAACCTCGGTATCATGTGATACTGATGGGTCAGTACTAGGGCCTGAATGACTGACAGCCTGTCTTTTATAAACTGGACCAGGCGGTTTAAGATGCAGGGCCCAAACAGGAGTATCAGAAGGAGGATAATCAAGGGACCCATCAAAGAAGACAATAGAGTTGTAAACCAGGGAGACTTATTGAACCATCCTTCGAACCATCCTTGTTGTGATTCGAACAGCTTTTGTCTCTGTCTTAACCTCTCTCTAAGCTTTGTCATATTGTCTCTCACCAGCCCAGTGTGGTCCGCATAGAAGCAGCATTCCTCTTTGAGCGCCGCACATAACCCTCCCTCTCGCAAAAACAACCAGTCTAGCCCCCTCCTGTTTTGTAGGACTACCTCTGAGAAGGAGGTTAAGGACTTTTCGAGTGCGCTAACCGATTCTTCCAGGGCCTTGATATCAGTATGCATGGCTGCCTGAAGTTGTCTAAATTGGCTGGTCTCCATAAGAGTGGTGGTCCCTGTGCCCACCCCTGCCGCTATTCCCCCCATAGTGATGCCTCCCAGCAATAAGGCCAAAGTTAGGGAGGCTGGTTCTCTCCTAAATCGGGGTCTCCCTTCAAAATGACTATAGATGTATTCAGGATCATGGTATGTAACTTTGGGCCATAATTCAATTAGAACGCAGTAATCAGAGGTTTCACTGAGCACAGCAGCTGAAACGCATGGGATTAATCCAGTACTGCATGCCCAATAGGTCCCGTTGGAGGCAGCTAGGTAATAGGTTCCTCTGGACACCTTTTGGGTAGAGTTACATAAGGCCTGGTGGGTTTTGGGAATAGTCCCTATGCAAAGTCCCTGTCCAGATACTTTAGACAGGGTCAGCTTATGCTGGGGGATGGAAGTGTAGCTGGTGGGTGCATTGAAAACCTGGTGCGGGCTATTTTCTTGTGCCGCCATCCCCAGTCTTAGTAGGGCCCATATAATAGTCAAAGGGCCCCACGGGTAAGCCTTATCTTTAAGGGGTTTTGAGTGCGTTGGATTCTCCATGCTGGGGTCGCAGCAGGCTCCGCTTTCTCAGCTGTATGGGCGGCCTTAACGTGCGAGGCATGGATCCAGGCTGCAATGCCGTCAACCTTCAGTGCCGTTGGAGTGGTCAGAAGGACAGTGTAAGGGCCTTTCCACCGAGGTTCCAAGTTTTTGGTCTGGTGTCTGTGGACCCAAACAGTATCTCCTATCTGGAAGGGATGCGGTACCACCGGCTGGTTCAGTTGGTCTCAGTAAGCAGCGGCGAGTGGCTTCCAGACCTCTCTTTGCACAATCTGTAACGCCTGTAAATGGGCTTCCAGAGAAGAACTGTCAGCAAAATCGGCAATGTTTGAATCAAAGAAATTTATAAATGGGGGAGGAGCTCCATATAGGATTTCAAAAGGTGTCAGTCCATGAGGCCCTGGAGTGTTGCGGGCTCTGTACAGGGTCAGTGGTAAGAGGAGCACCCAGTCTCTAGCCAGTTGCAAGCGTTAATTTGGATAAGGTCTCCTTAATTGTTCTATTCATGCGTTCTACCTGCCCTTAACTTTGGGGTCTATATGCACAATGTAATTTCCATTCGACCCCTAGGAGTTTGGCCACCAACTGACTTACCTGGGAGACGAAGGAAGGGCCATTATCGGTGCCTAAGACTTGAGGCATTCCGTACCTGGGAAAGATTTCTTCCAAGAGCTTTTTGGTCACCACCTTTGCGGTTTCGTGTTTGGTGGGAAAGGCTTCCACCCATCCTGAAAAAGTGTCTATGAACACCAAGAGGTATCTGTACCCATAGAGACCTGGCTTAACCTCCGTAAAGTCGATCTCCCAATGTACTCCGGGATGATGTCCCTGTACCCTAACTCCTGGACCAAGCTTGGTTCTGCCTGCGTTTACCTGAGCACAGGCTTGGCATTCATCAGTCACTTTTTGCAGGGCTCCATCCCTGTTCAGGAGGTGTTGGCCTGACTCCTGTCTGTCCAACAAGGTCTTCATCTTCTTTGGCCCCAAATGGGTCAATTTATGTAAGTAGTCTATTATTTTATAAGTATGTTTTGTTGGCATAACAATCTTTTCCTTAAAAACCCAATGTTGCTTTTTGGGGTCATATGTGGCCCCCATTTTCTTTAGGAGATCAATGTCCTCTGTACTATAGGGTAGCGAACTGGAGGGTGGGGCCTCTTTCGGGTTCATCAAGGGGAAAACTTGGGAGGTCTTGGTTGATTTCATAGCAATCTTTCGAGCAGTGTCATCTGCCAGTCTATTTCCCTTTGCCTCAGGGCTATGGCCTTTTTGATGCCCAGGGCAGTGCATAATACTTAATTTTTGGGGCAAAAATAAGGCCTTTAGGAGTGCCAGTATTTCAAGTTTGTTCTTAATTTCCTTTCCTTCTGAGGTCAGCAGCCCACGTCTTCGATAAATTTCCCCATGTATGTGAGCCGTGGCGAAGGCATATCGGCTATCTGTATAAACATTTAGCCTCTTACCTTCTGCCATCCGGAGTGCCTGGGTCAGAGCGATGAGTTCAGCCCTCTGGGCAGAGGTGCCTGCGGGGAGGGCTTCTGCCCAAATTACCTCAGTCTCCGTTGTCACTACCGCCCCCGCTCTTCGTTCCCCATTTGCCAGGAAACTGCTGCCATCCGTATACCAAGTATAGTCAGCATCTCGGAGGGGTTGATCCGTCAGGTCCGGCCTGGTCCCGTGTATTTCCGCAAGGATCTGGAGGCAGTCATGGTGTTGGGCTTCCTCCGGCAGGGGGAGCAAGGTCGCGGGATTAAGAGCGACCACAGGTCCAAAGTGCACCCGGTCTGTATCCAGGAGCATTGCTTGGTAATGAGTCATGCGTGCATTGGAGAGCCAGCGGTCTGGAGGCTGTTTAACCAGAGCCTCCACCGCATGGGGTGCCAGGATAGTCAATGGCTGGCCCAGAGTCAGTTTACCCGCGTCCTTGGTGAGGACTGCAATAGCTGCTACCATTCGCAGGCAGGGCGGCCACCCTGAAGCTACTGGGTCGAGTTTCTTTGAGAGGTAAGCTACAGGACGCCTCCAAGGGCCCAGTTTTTGAGTTAGGACCCCTTTAGCATAACCCTGTTTTTCATCCACGAACAAATCGAACAAATCGAAAGACTTGGTAATGTCAGGGGAGCCCAGAGCAGGGGAGGCTAACAAGGCTTTCTTAATGTTTTCGAAAGCCCTCTGTTGGTCCTCCCCCCAATCAAACATTGTTCCTTGTTTAGTTAATGGATACAAGGGTGCAGCCAGCTCTGCAAACCCTGGGATCCAGAGGCGGCAGTATCCCGCTGTTCCCAGGAACTCTCTTAGCTGGCGGGGGTTCCGGGGGGGCAGGAATGTTAGTGATGGTTTGTTTGCGCGCCTCGGTCAGCCATCTCTGTCCATCTTTCAATTGATAACCTAGGTAAATGACTTGCTTCTGGCATATCTGAGCCTTCCTGGCTGATGCCCGATAGCCTGCTTGTCCCAATGTCTGTAGGAGGGCCTTTGTACCCTCCTGACATTCTTTCTCCGAAGCAGCCGCCAGAAGGAGGTCATCTACGTATTGGAGCAATGTCAGGGCAGGGTACTGAACCCGAAAGTCTGCCAGGTCCCGGTGTAAGGCCTCATCAAAGAGGGTCGGGCTGTTCTTGAACCCCTGGGGAAGCCGTGTCCAGGTCAATTGACCCGAAAGTCCAAGATCTGGGTCCTTCCATTCAAAGGCAAAAAGGGACTGGCTCTCCGGGTGCAGCCGCAAGCAAAAGAAAGCATCCTTTAAATCTAATACGGTATACCAAACATGGGATGGCGGCAGAGTGCTCAATAGGTTGTAGGGGTTGGGGACCGTGGGGTGTATGTCCTCCACCCTTTTGTTGACCTCCCTCAAATCCTGCACTGGCCGGTAGTCCCCAGTCCCCGGTTTCTTTACTGGTAAAAGGGGGGTATTCCATGGTGACCGGCAGGGAATGAGAATGCCCTGATCCAGCAGTCTTTTTATGTGGGGCCTTATGCCATGATATGCTTCATGGGACATGGGGTACTGCTTGATTGAAACAGGAGTAGCTGTTGCCTTCAATTGAATGATGAGTGGAGGTTGTTGTATAGCCATCCCCATTCCCCCAGTCTCTGCCCATGCCAATGGAAAGTCATTGAGCCAAGGGGCCATGTCAATTGTCTGTTGCCCCGGGGGCTCGTAAAGTCTATATTCATCCTCCAGCTGGAGGGTCAAAATTTGGAGGGGACCTCCATCTGGGCCCGTTATCTTAGCCCCTGTGTCCTCAAAATGAATTTGGGCCCTTAGCTTGGTGAGGAGGTCTCTACCCAACAAGGGATAGGGACAGTCTGGAACATGCAGAAAGGAATGCATCACCTTACCAGTAGCCAGCTGAACCTTCCGATTAGTTGTCCATCGATATCTCTTGCCACCAGTGGCTCCTTGGACCCAAGCAGATCGTTCGCTGAGTGGCCCTGAAGTCTGAGTCAGGACTGAATGCTGGGCCCCAGTGTCTACCAGGAAGGTGACTGGTTGCCCCCCGATATCAAGAGTTATCCTGGGCTCAGGGGGAGGGCTCCTGGCCCTGAATTCCCTAATCCTCTAAGGTGAGGAGCGAGGTCTGGGGCCTGGGCTTCCTAGGTCCTTTGTTCCTCCTGGGGCAATCCTTAATCCAGTGTCCTCGTTCTTTACAATAGGCGCATTGGTCTCTGTCCACCTTGGCCCTACGTCGTTCTCCCTGCCTGTCTCCCTCTCTATTCTGTCCCTGAACCACGGTGGCCAACACCCTAGTTAATTCCTTGTTTCTCCTCTTGTTGAAAATCTTCTCTGCCTCTTTTAGTAAGTCTTGTATAGTATATCCCTGGAGACCCTCAAGCCTCTGCAATTTGCTTCTAATATCCGGACTAGACTGCCAGATGAAAGACATGGATACACTTGTAGCTTGCCCTGGATCTTCAGGGTCATAGGGGGTATACATCCTATAAGCGTCCTTGAGCCTTTCTAAGAAGGCTGAGGGCGTCTCTTCATTTCCCTGTATTACTTGCTTAACCTGGGCCAAATTGGTGGGGCGGCGTGCTGCCCCTCGGAGACCCACGATTAGCAACTGGCAATAGAGGCGTAGGTGTCCCCTACCTGCAGCTGTAGTGAAATCCCAGTCAGGTCGCGTCAGAGGGAAGGCCTCGTCAATTTCGTTAGGCAAAAGGGTTGGGCTCCCGTTGTCGCCTGGGACGTTTTTCCAAGCCTCCAAAAAGACTCTTTGCTTTTCCTCCGAGGTCAGCAGGGTTTCCAAGAGTTGCTGGCAATCATCCCAAGTGGGCTGGTGGGTGACTAAAATAGACTCAATCAGGTTAGACAGCGTTATTGGATCTTTGGAGAATGGGGGGTTATGGTGTTTCCAATAGTATAGATCTGAGGCAGAGAATGGCCAGTATTGCTGTCGGCCGTTTGGGCCCTCTCTCAAGGGTAGGGCATGAGCAGTGGAATCAGGGGGTGGTTCGCGCCTTCCCCGGAGTCTTCCCGCCATGGGTGAAGGGGCTGGGGAGACTTGTGCAGGCTGTCCACCTGCTGCTGCAGTCCCTGGCCCATCCGGACTCTCTGGATCCTCTGGATCTGCATAAGGAGGGGGTTCTTCTGATAGAAGGTCAGTGAGGGGAGAGTCAGGGTTCGGAGGAAGGACGGGAGGGGGCATAGGGGTAGGTTTCGGAGGTTTTTCTTTGGGAACCTTCTCCTTAAGAATGGTGGGGTATAGGGAAGAAGAGGGTGGGGCAGGGGAAGGTGCAGGAGGAAGAGGCACAAATGGTTGGCTCTCCTGGGGAGGGGGAGCCTTAGGGGCTGTAGGGGTAAGAGAAGGTTGGGGTTTGTTAGAGATGTTAGAGATGACAAAGGGCTGGACCCATAGGGGCGGGTCACGTGCCAAACTTTCCCAGGTAACAATGTAGGCGCGTTGGTCCGGGTGTCCATGTGGTCCTGGGCTGAACACTTTTGCCTTAACCTGGGAAATAATATTGAGATTGAAAGTGCCATCTCTTGGCCATTCTGATTCAACAGTAGGCCACTTGGACAAACAAAAGATCACCCATTTCTTCTTTCGAACATCGACTGACAGGTTGTCGGCTCGGGCGCGGACGTCAGGCCAGTGGTCTAAAGTAAGGCTCAATGGGGTGGTTAGGGTTTGTCCCATCTTCTCGAAGAGAAGGGAACCAAATATAAAAACAAAAAACAAAACAAAACAAACAAACAAAAAAAAAACACACACACAAAGACAGAGACAGAACAGATGCTGACAGAACAGACAGAGACAGAACAGATGCTGACAGAACAGACAGAGACAGAACAGATGCTGACAGAACAGACAGAGACAGAACAGATGCTGACAGAACAGACAGAGACAGAACAGATGCTGACAGAACAGACAGAGACAGAACAGATGCTGACAGAACAGACAGAGACAGAACAGATGCGCAGCGCAGCAAAACTCAGACGGAGGCCCTGAGGGTCCGGATCCCTCTCCTCCAACTAGGACCACGTATCCTTCGGATACGGGCTGAGCTCCGAAGAATCGGGCTCCAGAAGTCCTTGCGGACTGACTCCGATGTCCATGGAACGTCTTCCACGGACTGCGGGGGAGAAGTACCAGGCTCGTCAGCCCCCTTCCCTCTGCCAGGTACAGCGCACTCAGACCTGAGTGTACAGAATTCGACAAAGAACACAGAAGACAACTGAACAAAGAACACAGAAGACAACTAACAGAGCTGGCCAGCTTACCTCCCGTTGGTGAGTCGGTGATCCCTGGGTGGGGGGGTCTCAATTCCCGGCCAATGCACCAAATGAAAGACCCTCAACGAGGACCTCTTTTCGGGAGGAGACCTCCCCAACGCCAAGGAACAGGCCGAGACCGCACGGATGCAATTCGCAAGAGGTTTATTGAGTAGACACAGGTACCTGTGGGCAGCAAGATCTCTCGGAAGATTTGCGCACCTGCCAACTGGAGGCCGGGCTTTTTATAGGGAAGAGCAAAAAGCAAGTTTACAGAAGCAAAAGTGTGGTTATCGATCGACTGGAATGAGGCGGGGGCATGAATGGTTTCCCCTCTCAGCATGGGTGTCAGCAAGAAGCAAGTTTACAGAAGCAAAAGCGTGGTTATCGGAATGCGGCAGGGGGGCATGAAAGGTTTCCTCTCTCAGCATGGATGCCTGGCAACAATCATCCTGTTCCTATCTTATAGCTAACCTGCTTTGTTGACATCCTATCTTATTGACATCTTGCCTTACAGTCTTCCTATCTCTATCTCCTGCTCTCTCAGGCACATGGGATGTTCTAACGGGAGCAGGCTGGCTGCTGATCCGGAGATTTGTTTAAAACAAACAGGATGTTCCCCCGGGAGCATGCTAGCTGCGGGTTTTGGGGAGGGGGTCTGTAGGGTCTTTCAAAGATTATAGATAAGTAATGGATAAGTTGTATTAAGGTTAAGAAGTATTTTATAGATAAGTGATAAGTTAGATTAAAGTTATGAATTGGTTTTATGTATTGAGGTTTAGTAGGATTAATAATTGTAATATTGAATTGCCTGTGTGTTGCCCATTATCAATCCCCCATACCTATTAAGGTGGGTCTTGTATCTTATCTGTTGCTTTCATTGGTTAATTAATAAAGAAAATTGCTTGGCCTGATAGGACAGAAAATTAGGTAGGCAGAGTAAACAGAAAAGAATGCTGGGAGAAAGAAGCTGAGTCAGGCAGTCCCCATGATTCTCCCACCAGACACAGATGCAGGTTAAGATCTTCCCTGGTAAGCTACCTCGTGGGCTACACAGATTATTAGAAATGGGTTAGATTAATATGTAAGAGCTAGCCAATAAGAGCTAGAACTAATGGGCCAGGCAGTGTTTAAAAGAAAAAAAAAGATTGTAAACCCCATTGATGCATTGGATATTGAAGTTGCCAGTAAAGAATAATCATAAAAACAATTCTCTTGCTTAGTCTGGTTACTCATCACTCTCTGGGGAGAAGGGCACAGAGTTCTCATAGATATTACTCGAAAAGAACCTGGAGCTGAAGTCCCCCAGCTCGTAACAGGGAGGGAGCAAAAGTCCTTGTACCCGTGCCAAAGCAGCTTCAAAGATTCTCTTTGTAGTTATGCCTTTAAAAGCTTACCCCACAAAGGAGATACAACTCCTCTCTCTACCTCGCTGTAACGGGGATGGAGATGAGTTCCAAACATGTTTGTATTATGCTAATTAAACCTTGCTTATTACAGTCTGGGCCTCTCTGGTGGTCTCTCTCTGGGGGTCGTAATCTGGGCACAACACCCAGTAGACTGAACTTGGCCATAAGAAGAGAAGGTGCGGGGGAATGAGAGAGGCAGACAAGAAATAGAGAACAGGAAAGAGGAAAAGCAGAACAAGAAAGGTGCTGAGAACCAAGAGAAAAACCAAGAGATCTCATGGCCTATGTGGTAGGGTTATACAGGAAAGAGAACCTGGGGGAAGGGAAACTAAGCCCCAGGACTGGAGAGGTTTAGGGTAGGGGGCAGGGGTGAGAAGAACAGAAAGGAGCCACTGGTACTGAGAGAGCTTGGTGGCCAACAGGGGCTTTGGTATGCTAATGGGCACTTCAGTTAGCCATTTGTCATGGGTTTCTTTGTGATCTGACAGGATCCTTTTAGCAAGTGATTGCCATCTCACCATTTCACATTCTGAACAATAGTGCCAGTACAAATCACCTGCCTTCTAATTCATTGTACTGCCCCTGCGCATTGACGAGGCAGACCTTAGCAGTTGCCTTCACAGCTAATAATCATTTCTTAGCTTTCTTTGAAGCAGCAGTGGCCTCTACCCAGACAATGGCTCCCAACTTTTCTAAATTCTTTGTGACTAACTTCCTCCTTGCTGTATCAGATTCTCTTGCAGCCAGAGGTACCCACTTAACTAGCTCTGAACAGTGAGACCTGTGCACACGTTGAGTGGGTTCCTGGGAGGTAGGCTGGAGGGAACTTTGTTTTCTTTTTTTTTTTTTTTTTGTAGTTTTTCGAGACAGGGTTTCTCTGTAGCTTTGGAGCCTGTCCTGGAACTAGCTCTTGTAGACCAGGCTGGTCTCGAACTCACAGAGATCCGCCTGCCTCTGCCTCCCGAGTGCTGGGATTGGAACTTTGTTTTCTTGATTAAAGGAGAGAGACCACTTGATTCTTTTCTGCTTCTTCCTGCTCTGAAATTAGACCTCATGCTTGGACCTTTAGTACGTGTCAGTCAATTATAACATGTGGTTCTTACGTTCTCAAGATACTGAGTGTATACTGGCAGTTTCCTCAAGAGAGAGAATGCCTGATAAGTGAGCAAGAAATCTGTTTGCTTAGCCATTGGATGAAGGTTCCTGCTACTTATAGTATAAGTACATTTAAGAAAGCTGCTAGGTTCCTTTTCAGTGATCACTTTGCCCATACATGATAGGTGAAAAAATGTACAGCCATCCTGGCAAAAAGGATATCATCAGAAGAGACTCCTAAGGTAGTCTAGCCATAAATAGAGTCTGAAGTAGTGCTTCTCTAGCATGGCTACTAAAATTTAAATATGCAGGCTGTGTACTTTTTGTATAGGTATGAAGGCAACAGTGTTTGGGGCTTCTCTATGTCTTTCTGACTATCTTGCTTTTTCTTTTCTTTTTTTTTTTGTTACTTTTAAAAATTCTCCTCTCATACATTACATTCCAAGCACAGTTTCCCCTCCCTCTACTCCTCCCCAGCCCCCCCCTACCTTGCCCCATCTACTCTTTCTCTGTTTCCTTTCAGAAAAGAACATGCCTCCTAAGGTTATCAACTAAATATGACATAACAAGTTACAAGACTAGGCACAAACCCTCATATCAAGGCTGGACCAGGTAACCCAGTAGGAGGAAAATGGTCCCAAGAGCAGGCAAAAAAGTTAGAGACACCTGCACTGTTAGAAGTCCCATAAGAATACTAAGCTATACAACCATAACTTATATGCAGAGGACCTAGCTCAGACCCATACAGGCTACATGATTGTTGCTTCAGTCTTTGAGAGCCCCAATTAGCACTGCTTACTTGATTCTGTGGTCCATGTTCTCCTCTCTGGCTCCTACAATCCTCCTCTCCCTCTTCCACTGGATTCCTCAAGTTCTGCTTAATGTTTGGCTCTGTCCCTATGAATATGCTCCCATCAGTTGCTGGATGACAATTTGGCTAGGTACCCATCTATTAGTATAGCAGACTATCATTACTAATAATTTCATTGAGTTTCCCCCCAGTCATGTTTGTTTCCATCCTGGGTCTCTGGGCTGTCCAGCCTCTGGCCATCCAGGCAGTGTCAAGCATGGGCTCCTTCTTTGTGGTACAGGGGAAACTGTGCTTGGAATGGAATGTATGAGAGGAGAATTTTTAAAAGTTGGGTCAGTGGTTGATTGGCCACTCCCACAAATTCTTCTTCACCATTACCCCAGCACAGCTTGCAGCCAGGACAAATTGTAGTCAAAGGTTTTGTGACTGGGTTAGTGTACCCACTGCTGGAAGACTTCCCTGATTATAGAGGGTGGTCAGCTCTGGCTACATATCAACCATTATTAGAAATCTCCACTAGGTTTACTCTCATAGATTTCTGGGAGATTCCACTGCATTAAGTTTCCACATCCACCCCCAAATGCCCCCTAATTCCAGTCATCTCTCCAGTACTCTCTCCTTCAACCCCCTACCTGATCCTTTCTGTTCCCATCCCTACCTGCTCCCAGTCCAACCACTTATGAGTGAGGACATACCATGTTCATCTTTCTGGGTCTGAGTTAACTCACTCAGGATGTTTTTTTTTCTAGTTCCATCCATTTGCATGCAAATTTCAAGATGTCATTATTTTAAGAGCTGAGTAATACTCCATTGTGTAAATGTACCACATTTTCTTTACCTATTCTTCAGTTGAGAGACACCTAGTTTTTTTTTTCCAGTTTCTGACTATTATAAATAAAGCCATTTTGAACACAATTGAGCAATCGTCCTTGTGGTAGAATGGAGCATCCTTTGGGTATATGCCCAAGTGTGGTATAGTAGGGTCTTGAAGTAGGTCAATTCCCAATTTTCTGAGGAACTGCCATATTGATTTTTAAAGTGGCTGTACAAGTTTGCAGTCCCACCAACAATGAGGAGTGTTCTCTTTGCTCCACAACCTTGCCAGCATGA